AAGATTACTAATTAATAGGCATTCTACCTGAATCCACTTGAAAATAGAATGGAACGCATCCACAAATTTCCATTATTGTCGCGGCTTTACATTCACTGACACAGTTTTGATAAGTGTACCTAAATGTGAAATTCATAATTCGGTCGTTTGGAAATAAGCAATTTCTTTCCGAGGGTACCATCGTCTTCACAGCAGTACTAGATCCGGTACCTTCCGTGCTTAGGGAGATGAAATTATTGGTGTTTATTTCACTCAGATGTGTCGGTAACGCGAAATGCGGAAAATCGAATGGGTTATGAATTTGGACCTGAAACTGCTTAATTATGAACAGGTTAATGGCAAATAGTATCTAACAAAAATTATGGAACTAAAATAAATATTTAACTGTTTGTTTGCTTATGGAGTTTGAAAGTGAAACACCAGAATGTTGCAGGTTAGTTAAGTAATAATTAATACTTAATAAGTATTTTGTAAACACAAAAATTGTTGAGGCGAAATACCCAATAAGCAGTTTGTAAAAAAAACAGAATGTTTACATTCTGATTTTTGCTCCCTGCCAAATGTTATTAAGGCAAAACATCTGAATTTACTTTACCTGAAATCCAATCGATGGTATATTTGACATGAARTAATCACTTGGATCGTTATCAAGTAACACTTCTAAACCTGTTTGATATATGGAGCCAGAATTTCTTAAGAAGTATTCCATTTGYCTAATTTTAATACCAGCTCTAAAAAATATTGAAGAAGCGTTGATATATTATAGTAAAAAATTTATATTCACTTCAACTTCTGTAGACCGTAGTAAYTGGACGAGCAACAAAAGCCAACAGGAGACTGGGTCGTTTGGAATAGGACGCTGCAATTAACGGCTTTATTCTGCCACTTGCACTTTCTGAGAAATACGTTGCATGATGGTGAAATTTCCTCAAATACCTAAAAACCTTATCAGTGTCCACATTTCTGGATTAGTGTTCTGTTTCTCTAGTGAACCTACCTGATGTTCACTGATCTCATTTTGTCGTAAAGTCTCGCTCAACAAAGAATATTCCTCTTCAGGCAGATTGTGATTTTTATTGTCTACCAATCGAGCAAGAAGTTTTAGGGTGTGTGCTAATTTCTCCATATTCGTATAATTGTTTTTGTTTCTATAAAATATTTACAATTTGAGATGGCATTAAATATTATTTCAGGTTTCTGCTATTGCATACAGTTTTCTTGCCATATTGAAAGCAGCTCGCTTAGAAATCTTATTAAAACTGCAAATTGTGACAGTAGGGAAAAAAACTGAGCCGATTTTTTGTTGCGTTTTTAATGGTAATGTCATAATCGGATCGGCACGAAAATCTATCCATGACCAAGCCACCAGACCAATTGAAAGAGCTAGCGCTGCAAAGCAGATTGCAAACCAGAAAAATCTGCAACAAAAACATATTTCTTAAGAAACACTAATGATCGCTTTATGTAAACTCGTTTCCTGTCTGCGATATGTTACTTCATCATTTACCTGGCGAAAATGGAAGTTTCGGAAACTATATATTTCCAGCCATGTAGGCCAGTGTATTTACAAAACACAGTCCAATAGATAATTGCAAACGACGCAAACGTTTTTGAAATTGAAGTGCGCTCCATTGGCAGGAAATCTTTTTTCTAGTGTAGAATTCAACAGAAAACAATAGTTAATAGCCATAGCTTTGTTTCTATGTCTGCGATATTATCTGAAGTATTGTGATACTTCAATGATTTGGCAAAACCGTGTCCATGTATGTACAAATATTCATTAAATATTCAAATACTTTATTATATATACGGTTTGGACTCCCTTTTCAAATAATTCGGCGTGCCATATTGTTTCTCCCAACACCAGTGACCTGGAAGTTCAGGTGTTAGATTTATTTCATTTTTAGTTCTGATGAGAATAGTTTAAACGTTCGCAGATATTCTATGCCTTTTTCCATTTTAGCCGCGAAAAAAAATGAAATTTTTTATATGTTGGTCCATTTTAAGCGCTTTACGAGATGCAGTATTCTTTATTGTTTACTTAGACTCTTTTTTAGGAACTGGTTACTAAAATTAATTAAAAAAACACAGAAGTTTGATAGCTAGATTTGGAGACGCTTCCACACTAATGTTTTCCAAAAAAATACCGAACTTGCTCAACAAGCCTCAAATTACAGTTTGGTTTTCGTCATTCAGCAAGAGACACCAGTTTCATAATTTTTAATTTCTTAAATATTTGATCACTTAGTTCTTGCTTCTGTGATCTGCTGAATGTATTTGACTGTGATAGACACACACAGGCAGTGTGTGTTAATGTGCGCTCATGTAATTAAGTTTATATAAAAATTAAAACACTTTTTTAGTCCAGAATATATCTACAAAGATTACATGCGTATCAGTAGTGTTCCGACCTAGAAATGAGCCACAAAAATTTTGCATTTCATCTTCCAAATCAACTGAACGTGTCGATTCGTATGTTCAAATCCTTGGGCTTCGGGATTCATTCTGTATGAGTTTTTTCTGATTTATGTAAAAACGTTCATTCAAAATGCGCATATGTACAGTCTTCTAAAGTCTAAAACTGTGTAAGGACGTTAAAAGGCTCACACCCGCAAAATGGATTGATAGATTTTGACCAATCCCAAATAGATCAAATTGCCTCAAATTTTACAAATGCCATTTTCGTTACAATTTGTTTTTTGTCCTCCAGTTACACCAGTTCATTTATTGACGACTTGTAGTAGCGTTTGTTTCCACATTTATGCCAAGTGTCCACATCTATACACTAAAATGTATGTAAATATTGAAACGCGTCTAAAGTTCTTTCGCGTTGGGAGCAAATTATTTATTTTGTTATAGACAATTATTAATAGAATAAATTAGGATTTAGGCGCTGATCCAAATAAAGCTACATTGGAAAATCTGATGGTAATTTATTCCTCTTATCAGTTTCAAGTTAATAAATACAAAATTCAAACTTTTAGTATGCTGGTGCTATTTTGCCTAGGTGCCACCATAATACGTCTAACTTTCCTTCCCTTGTCCGCATCATTTTTCTTATTACTTCTAGTTCCAAGTAGATATATGAATTCTACTACTGTAATAAAACTGAATGCTGTTAGCAATCCAACCACTCCCGCAAAGAAAGCTACAAGTTGGAATTCGGAAAGCGGTTAGAAAAACTAAACAATTAAACAGACAAACCTAAAAGGCCAAGTGCTGAAAATTTTACATCTCGCCGATACGCTCGTGATTTTAATGCCCAAGCGAAAACTTTTAAGACCGTAAAATTTTCCAAATTCCTACTGGACCTGAAATGATATTAATGTCAAGTCAAACATTTGTGTTTGTATTAGCGTTTTCCTCGAAAAAAAATCGATTTATTCGTTGATTTATATAAAGTCCTTCTGCAGCTTACTCAATCGAGTGAGGATTTTTAAAGTAACTCCAGTCCAAAGGTCCCTTGGATATATACGATTGGTAAGTTATGTAGCCGCAATTTGGATAGCATTTGCATTTATTATTGCTTTCTCCATCGTGCGGCCTTTGACGATTTATGTCGAAAATTATATCTGCAAGAACATGAATTAAACCGTTATAGCAACCTTGAGGCGACAGATACCTTGGTTCGAAGCGATACAGTTTTGATCTTTAATAGTGCACGGAATATGGGAATAATCTGGAAATCAAACTCAATTAGAATTAAAAATAATGAATGTTCCAACACTTTCAAGCAACGAATCTTAATCCGTAGTATACGTGTTATGCAGGATGTTTTGCTGGGAGGTCAAAATATAATAAATGAGGCAACATGTTTGATAAATGGTGGTCCAAAAAGCGTAAATATCTATCTCCATTAAGACGTCCAACTGCTCCACACCACACGTTTATACGGCGTCGATGTTGAAAATTTCGTTCAAACGAGGGATGAGAATTTTCATCGAACCACTGTTCATAATGACGAGTTATTGATGCTATATATGAGCTTCATCGGTAGATAAAATGTATCTGTATATTCACCAATTAGGCATTGACAAACAACGAAACACCTGCAAACTGAGTGCAAATTAATGTTACGGATTTTACCTGTATCCATTAGAAGGTAAAATGGAACACATCCACAAATTTCCAGTATGGTTGCTACTTTACATTCACTGATGCAGTTTTGATAAGTATACCTAGTTGTAACATTCATTTTCCGTTCGTTATAAAATATGCAATTTCTCTCTAAAGTGGTCATCGCCTTCACAGCATCACTATTGCCTGTTATTTCGCCACTAACTGCGAAGAAATTACTAGTGTTGATTTCACTCAACATTGTCGGTAATGCAAAATGCGGAAAATCAAATGGGTTATGAATTTGGACCTAAAACTGCTTGAAAATGAGCGTCTATGTTCCAAAGTTTGAAAGCCAAAAATTTACGTTACCTGAAACCCGATTGATGGAACGTTCGAAATGAAATAATCATTTGGATCGTTGTCAAGCAGCACTTGCAAACCTGTTTGATAAATGCAGCCAGGATTTCTTAGAAAGTACGGCATGTTTGTAATTGCTCTTAAAAAATTGGAAGTAGAGTGTTTAAAACTATGGGAAAAGCTTTATATGTACTTCAACTGCTTCAGGCCGTGGTAATTGTATGAACAACAAAATCCAATTGGAGTTTTAGTAGTTCGGAAAATGATGCTGCATTCAATGGCTCTGTTCTTCCACATGCACTTTTTGAGCAATTTATCGCATGATGGTGCAATTTGCTCAAATACCTAAAAGTCTTACCGATCTTGAGATGTCTGGATTTGTGCCTGAAAACAGTGGAAGTGTTTAGCTTCGCTAGTAATCATACCTGATGTTCACTAATTTGATTTTGCTTAAAAATCCAGCTTAATAAATTATATTCCTTGTCCGGTAAAGTGTGATATTTATTATCCGTCAATCTAGCAAGAAGTTTTAAACTGTGTGCCAACTTTTCCACACTGGTATAATTGTTAATAATTCTACAAAATATGTACAATTTTAAACCGCGTTTCATAAATATTTTATAAAACAGCAAAATTTCCGCTGTTGCTTACAGTTTCTGTGCCATATCGAAAGCAGCTCGTTTAGAAATCTTATTGAAGCTGCAAATTGTGACAGTAGGAAAAAAAAGTTTTGCCACTTCGTATTGCGTTCTAATTGGTAATGTTACCATAGGATCCGCACGAAAATCTATCCATGATAAAGCTACCAGACCAATTGAAATAGCTAGCGCTGTAAAACAAATTACAAACCAGAAGAATCTACAAGAAGAATAACTTAACTCAGAAACGCATTTTTTGTTTTATACCAACTCGCTTACTATCTTTTCAAATTCTGTAGTTTTCTAGACTTTCTATATAATTTGTTAATTAATTATTTACCTGCTATATACGCTAGTTTCGGTAACTATATACTTCCAGCCATGTAAACCAGTGTCCTTACAGAATTGAAGCCATTTGGCAGTTACAAGCAAAGCAAAGTTTTTCAAACATGACGTGAGCTTCATTGGTAGAATCGTTGTAAAACAGCAATCGGTATTAATTTTTTAGGATGTTTTATTACTTTTCGGTGTTCCTAATTAATCCCAAAAAGTTTCAATCCAAATGTGTATTTTTACGAGCTTGTAAGTGAAAAACTACGCAACGAGTTTAAAAGGCACCCATGTGAATAGTTGAGAAGATACATTTTAAAAACTTACAAAATACTATTTTTTTGACTAATCCTAAATTGCTCAAATTCCCTCCATTTATTGTTACTTAATTTTTGTCCTACACAGCCACCAGTTACTATGATTCTTTCCTAAGCACTTGAAAAATTTGTTCTGCGACCTGCCTAAAGCGTTCGACTGTGATCTGTAATTGTCAGGATTTCTGCTTTGAAAAATGGACGTTTATGCGTTCCAAGTTCTAGGAAAATTTTCGGAAATTATACACTTCATTTACAAAACAGAGTTCAATATAGAATTACAAACAAAGCAAACGTTTCTGAAATTAAAATGCGCTTGATTGGTAGAAAGCCTTTTATCTAATAAAACATTCAACATGCAACAATAGTTAACAGCCTTAGTTGTGTTTGTAGGTTTGTGATATTACCTGATATTTTAATAATTAAATTAGTTTACCAAAACCTTGTCCATGTACGAGAAACAAATATTCATTAAATATTCAGGCGCGCTACATTAAAATGCATTCGGTTTGATCAGGCTTACCAAACATTTCCGCTTGCATGTTGTTCTCTCAACATTAGCAGGAGTGGTATAAAAATTAAGATGTTTGATTTTTACATTCTTAGTTTGGATAGGAATAGTTTAAAGGTTGGCATATATTTCCTGCATTTTCCGTACTGCCTGCGATAGAAATAAGTCTGTTTCCTAGGAATTTTTTGATAATGTGGAGTAAATATTTTGGTGTTCGGAGTTTCAGCATTTATGACATTTATAGACTAAAAGCTTTGCTAATATCGATAACGCTGCCTTTGTTTCAGTAGGTGAGTTGTTTGTTTGTTGTTGGTCAAAGTAAAGAGTGGATGAATTGTCGGGTGTTGATGTTTGAAACCAGTCTTCTCTGGTGGTACATATTTTCTTGCTTTTAAGCGGCGGTTTTATTACGAGCTCAAAGACTTGTTAAACTGTTTTTCCCTACTTAGAATCAGTTTATGGTTTTTTTCAGTTAAAATGTTCAAGAGTTTAGTTTGTATTTTCTTTTTTTTCGTGCTGTGTTTTTTATATACGCTATGGCGTCACTGATGACTCAAATAATACACTGTCAAATTTATAAATTATCTATTTCTCGGATAATTTCAAGTTGATAAATAACCATTTACGGTTTTATATTGTTGGGATCATCTTCAAAAGCTGCCACCATAATACGTCGAAGTTAATATTTGTTTTCAGCATTTTTCTTTATTATTCGAATTCCAAGCAGCTAAAACCAGGTGCGAGCCACCATCAATTTTTAGAGATGAAAGCGCAGTTGATTAGGAACATCCAGTTTGAGTTCGGTCTTTTCTAAGCTAGAAAAAATTGGTTTTATTGAATGATTTTTATGAAACTTTGAGGATTTGTGCAGTTAAGCGACAAGTAAAGGTTGTGAAAATTTGAAGGTGCCGACCTTAGTTTGCCAGATGCGAATTTTTAGAGTAGAGTGCAGTTGACCCAAAACATGCAGGTTGAGTTCGGAATTTCGTAGTTTGAAAACCCAGTTTTTCGAACTGTTTTTAGGAAACTTTACGAATCTATGGAGTCAGGCAACTGGTAAAGATCAAAAGAAACAGACTTTCGATGCCATTCCTTGAAACTAATTTCAAATTCTACCGAACGACGACCTAAAAACCCGAAAAACCCATTAGTTTCAACTGGTAAAGATTTTGCTGTCTAGGTTAGTTTGCAATATTCAAATAAAAAAAGAGCAAAATTCCGTTTCGGATCATTTTCATAAAACTTTGAGGATCTATAGAGTCAAGCCCCTGCTAAAGACGGTGAAAATTTCAAATTGTTATCTGCTTTAGCTTGCAAGATGCAAATTTTTAAAGGCTCAACTGCACAATTGAGTAAGAACGTCCAGTTTTAGTTCGGTATCAAACTTTGTTTTTCTGGAGACTTAATTAGATGTTTTTGTCTGTTCTTTGATTGGTGACGGGGAAATAAAGGCGAAAAGAAAGCTGCAGCTGCTTTATTTTATGCCCCGCTTAAAACTATTCACTGTAAAATGAGGTATTTATCCAAATTGCCTGTACATTTAAAAATGATTCACTTTTAGCCACAACTGTAATTGGTAATTTTTAAAATAATTTATATGATTTTACGAAGTGAAACAATTTTTGTGTTGGGAAATTAACTTGCACGGTTTTTATCGTTGTATATCGTTGGGGTTGCTTTGAAGCGCTTCAACCTGAATGCAATGGAGTTTCCCTGTTGAATACGGAAAAGTGTTTTCATTTTTCCCCCTTCCAAATAGATAAATGCATTCCGTTATTGTAATAAAGCTGAATGCTGTTAGTAACCCTACCAGGCCGCCAAAAAAACCTACAAAACACATTATGACAAGGGTGCAAAAAATAAATTAATAAATAGAATCACCTAGAAGGCCAATATTGGAAAATTTTACATCCCGCCGATTACCATTCGATGCCAACGAGCTCATGAATACTCTTATGACTGTAGAATTTTCCAAATTCTGCCCGAACCTACAAAAAAACTGCATAAGCATGCAACAACAGCTACGAATGTGCATAAAATCAAGAAAACTCTGTTCATTGATACCAATTGAGGTCCAATGTCTAGATACTCTCTATATCTTACTCTATAGAATCTCGTTTGGTAAAGTATGCCAAGTCTAACGGCCCTTTGGAAATGTGCGATTGGTAAGTCATGTAGGCGCAATTTGGATAACATTTGCATTTTGCAGTGCTTATGCCAGCAGATGGCCTGTTGTGAAAAATGTCGAAAATTGTATCTGAAAGCCAGTACGATTATTATCTTGGTATTAAAATGTAGTGGCCAAAAACATACCTTGATTTCTTGCAATGCAGGATTGGTCTTTAATAGTGCAGGGCTTATGGAAATGTGCTGCATGGATTCATGAGGAATTCAAACATTTATGCCGAAGAAACTTTGCTTAAAATCTGTCTACTTACCTGATTTACCAGTTTTTTCTCGCAGGTAAAACGGAATGCAACCACAAAATTCGTAAATCGTTGCGACTTTGCATTCAGTTATGCAGTTTTGATAATTGTATCTATTGAAATATTTCATGCGCCGCTCTTTCATAAATAGACAATTTCTTGCTGAAGCTGCCATCAACTCCACTGCCTCAGTAGTACTGGTAAATTCAGCATTGACGGAGATGAAATTGTTGGTGTTAATTTCACCGAGAATTGAGGGCAATGCAAAATGCGGAAAATCAAATGGATTATGAAGTTGTACCTGAAAATACCTGATTATTTTTTAACGGCTAGAAACAGTACGAACTTGACCTGAAATCCGACGGATGGTATATCCGATTTGAAATAATCGGTTGGGTCGTTATCGAGCAACACTTCTAATCCTGTTTGAAATATGCAACCAGGGTTTCTTAAAAAATGTCTTGCGTGGCCTTTTTTGCTGGGCCTAAACAGATGAAGTTATCGTAAATTTAATCTCATATGAAAGTTATATTTACTTCAAAATTTTCAAGGCGTAGTAGCTGAACGAGCAACAAAAACCGATAGGGGTTTTCGTGGTTTGGAAAATTGAGCTGCAATTAACCAGTTTCTGTTTCCAAATGCACTTTTTGAGTAGTCTGGTACATGATGGTGCGATTTGCTCAAATACCTACAAACCATAAAATTGTCCTTTCCAAGGCTTTGCAGTACAACACAGAGTCGTTACCTCATGTTCATCTATTTGATTTTCTTTCAAAACTGCAGTCAGAAAGTTATATTCCTTGCGTGGCAGAACGCGGTATTTATTATCGGTCAATCGAGCAAGCAGTTTAAGATTGTGCGCTAACTTTTCCACAGAAAAATATTTATTTCTAGTTCGATTAAATGTAGACAA